TCCAAGCCCGGGATCCGAACCTAGGCCGCCAACAGCTGAGCGCACGCATTTAACCGCTATGCCAGGGGGCCAGCCCACGTCATTATTGTTTTAATATGCAATTCCTTAATAATGTAGGATCTTGAAAATCTTTTCATATGCTTACTTGCCATCGGTATATGTTCTCCAGTGAGGTGTCTGTTAAGGTCTATTATCCATTTTTTAATCAGGTTGTTCATTTCTTAGTGTAGAATTTTAAGAGTTCTTTGTTTATTTTGAGTAACAGTCCTTCATGAGATGTGTCTTTTGCAAATATTTTCTCCCAGTTTGCGGCTTGTCTTCTCATTCTGTTGGCATTGTCTCTCTCGGAGCAGAAGTTTTTTATTTTACTGACTAGATCTAGCTTATCAATTCTTTGTTTCATGGATTGTATCTTTGGTGTCGTATCTAAAAAGTCATTGCCATACCCAAGGTCATCTAGATTTTTCTGCTATGTTATCTTCTAGGTGTTTTATAGCTTTGTGTTTTATATTTAGGTCTGTGATCCATTTTGAGTTAAATTTTGTGAAGGGTGTAAAGTCTGTGTCGATGCATTTTTTTACATGTGGATATCCAGTTGTTCCAGCACCATTTGTTGAAAAGACTGTCTTTCCTCCGTTGTAGGGCCTTTGCTGCTTTATTAAAGTTGGCTGTGGGTCTATGTCTAGGCTCTCTGTAGTCATGCACTGCATAACGACGTTTTGGTCAACAATGGATTGCATATACGATGGTGGTCCCATAAGATTAGTACCATTAAGCCTAGGTGTGTAGTAGGCTATACCATCTAGGTTTGTGTAAGTACACTCTGTCATGTTCACACAACCATGAAATCGACTAACGACGCATTTCCCAGAACGTATACCCATTGTTAAGCGACGCGTGACTGTATTCTGTTCCATTGGTCTTTTTGTTCTTTCACCAGTGCCACACTGTCTTGATTACTGTAGCTTTATAATACTTCTTGAAGTTGGGTAAGTCCTTCGACTTGGTTCTTCTTTTTCAAAATTGAGTTGGCTATTCTGGGTCTTTTGCCTCTCCATATAAGCTTTAGAATCAGTTTGTGATGTCCACAAAATAGCTTGCTGGAATTTTGATTGGCATTGCATTGAATCTATAGTTCAAGATGGGAACAACTAACATCTTGATAATACTAAGTCTTCCTATCCATGAACATGGAATATCTCTCCATTTATTTAGTTAGTTCTTTGATTTCTTTCGTTAGAATTTCATAGTTTTCTTCATATAGATCTTGTACATATTTTGTTAGATTTATATCTAAATATTTCGCTTTTTAGGTGTTAATGTAAATGGTAATATGTTTTTAATTTCAAATTCCACTTGTTCATTGCTAGTATATAGGAAAGTGATTGACTTTTGTATATTAACTTTGTATCTTGCAACCTTACTGTAATTGCTTATTAGTTCCAGGAGTTTTTTTGTTGTTTCGGATTTTCTACATAGACAATCATGTTGTCTGCCAACAAACAGACATAAATATAAAACAACAGTTTTATTTCTTCCTGTCCAATCAGTATACCTTTTATTTCCCTTTCTTGTCTCATTGCATTAGCTAGATCTCCTTTTTCAATCCCTTCTCTTATTTTCTATATCCATTCACCTCTCCTGTTTATTCTTCACTTTTCAGTCTGAATAACATTCTCCTTGTTAAATTAGACAAATGAGAGTTGAGAGGGGTGTGTTTAACAAAACAGCACGTATAATTAATTGCATGTAAAGGAATTGAGTACTTAAATGTTTATAGACTTCCAGGGGAAGTTAGTTTTGACCCAGCCTTTTGAGAATTTGAATTGGATGAAAAGATGATGAGAGAGGACAAAGGCTATAGGCAAAATCTGGCATATCATAAGAAAATATTTGTATAGGCTATAGTAATTACATGAGCTTTATTGGAGTGAAAGGTCATTGTGGAAAGAATGGGAATTAGTGAAAGTGGGGATCATGGGAAGAGGCAATTTAATAAAATGAGACTTCAGTGCTGTATTTATAGCGTCTCAACTTGTGTGGAACTTACACTTTACAAAAGTAACCTTCTGAGATGGATGGGAGATACTCTTATTTTATGAATGAAAACATTAATACTTAGAGTAAGAAATGTACCAATTCCATATAACAGTATGTGACCCAGATAGGACTAAAAGTCATTATCTTATATTTTCAAGATCTCTGTTCTTTGCTGATATTGCTACACCTCTGTTGCCTCACCATAGTCCCCTATACTTGTAACTCACAGTTTATTGTGTTTTCATGTGCACTGTCTGATTGGATCCTCAAAAACCTTGTGAGGTATACAGTTCAGGTATTGTTATGATCTCATTTTACAAATAAGGAAAATGAAGATGAGAGAAGGTAAAGTCAACTAGATGTCAAGTAGCTAGGACTACTTTCTTTCTTTCTTTCTTTTTTTTTTTTTTTTTTGAGGAAGGTCAGCCCTGAGCTAACATCCGTGCTAATCCTCCTCTTTTTGCTGAGGAAGACCGGCTCTGAGCTAATATCTATTGCCAATCTTCCTCCTTTTTTTTTTCCCCCCAAAGCCCCAGTAGGTAGTTGTATGTCATAGTTGCACATCCTTCTAGTTGCTGCACGTGGGATGCGGCCACAGCATGGCTGGAGAAGCGGTGTGTCGGTGCGCGCCAGGGATCTGAACCCCGGGCCGCCAGTAGCGGAGCCTGCGCAGTTAACCACTAAGCCACGGGGCAGCCCTAGGACTGCTTTCTTAATCCCATCACTTATTTTCTTTATCTACTTGCCTTTTCTATTTTTCATTTTTCACTTTTTAGTGTAAAGATTAACTTTTCGCATAAATTCAGGCTAAAAGAAGTTAAATAGGTTAAAAAGGTCAACACTATACTAAGTAAAATAACAGAGCCAGGTCTAAATTTATGCCTTCTGGTTGCTGTCTTCTTACCAATTTTCTGTTCTGGAATAAAATACCTCCTGGAAGACCCAGAAATTTCTTGAGACTTGATCGTACCATGATTGAGAATTATTCTGGTAGATGTGTGTAGGATTATTTGGAGAGATCAGAGGCGGAGCTGTAAGGTGGTCATGTTAACATGATTTGTTAACGGAGTTATTTTTTTTTTTTTTAATTTTTTTTGTGAGGAAGATCAGCCCTGAGCTAACAGCCATGCTAATCCTCCTCTTTTTGCTGAGGAAGACCGGCTCTGAGCTGACATCTATTGCCAATCCTCTTCCCTTCTTCTTTCCCCCAAAGCCCCAGTAGATAGTTGTAGGTCATAGCTGCTCATCCTTCTAGTTGCTGTATGTGGGACGCGGCCTCAGCATGGCCGGAGAAGCGGTGCATTGGTGCGTGCCCAGGATCCGAACCCGGGCCGCCAGCAGCGGAGCGCGTGCACTTAACCACTAAGCCACGGGGCCAGCCCGGTTAACAACCTTAAAATTCACTTGAAACAGGTGTGAAATTAAGAAGTTCTTGATGAAGATAAAAGTTTCAGTATTTGGATATTTCCACTTAAAAATGCACAGGAATCAAGTACAATACTCTCCCAGTCCTACCAATATTTACATTATTTAATAGTATTTTGGATGTTTTAATTTATTTAATAATACTTTCAAAACAGGAACCAAATTCTCTACTTTTCTATTATCCCCATAACTTGTGTTTGAGATGTGAATGAGACAGAAAGGAAACAGTTCGTATTGTGTAGATATCTTATGTTCCTTTACCTGTTCTAAGTAGCTGCTCCAATCCATTCTGAAGTATCCATGTATTAATTTCTTATGGCTGCTGTAACAAGTTACCACAAACTCACTTGCTTAAAACAACTGAAATTTATTCTCTCACAGCTCAGGAGGCCAAAAGTCTGAAATTAATATCACTGGGCTGAAATGTTAGCAGGGCCGTTCTCCCTCCAGAGGCTCTAGAGGAGAATCTGTTCTCACGTCTTCCAGCTTCGGGTGGCTGCATCACTCCAATCTCTGCCTCTGTGGTCACAATATCTTCTCCTCTTCTGTCTGTGTCGCATCTCCTTCTGCCTTCTTTTTATAAGGTACATGTTATGACATTTAGGGCTCACCTGGATAATCCAGGATAATCTCCCCATCTCAAAATCCTTCATCATATCTGCAGAGTCGTTTTTTGCCGTACAAAGTAACATTCAGAGGTTCCAGGGGTTAGGCTGTGAATATCTTTTTGGGGAGCCATTATTCAGCCTACCACAGTCTTTATTGCTCCTCACTTTTCTTCTTTTTCATCTCTCCTGTTTTTATTCTTTTTTATCTTCCAGAAGCACAAAGTGGCAAGTAGATTGAATGGGTATGATCTAAAGTTAGGATCAAGAGTTGAGTAGATATGATCTAGATCAAGAAGTGAGCCTTGTTACCCTCACTGTAGAACATCAGATTGTGTTCACATTAACTTTTTGTTGTCATTGAATTAGTTGACAGTAATGGTACTTTTGTTAAATTCGGCACCCTTTATCAAAGTAATTATTGAATCTTTGGGTAAAGTGTGTGAGTTAACCTGGAATTTCTTTCCAATTAAAGCATCTGTTGATTAGATTGGCAGGCATTGATATTATTATTGAGAAAATAGCCAAATAGATACTAGCATTGTTTCAAAACTGATTTTCCTTTGAGTAAGTATTTTTTTTTCACATTTGCATTTTGTTTAAGTGATAGCTCAGACTTGAATTTAATGAAGGGAAACAGTAGAGTTGGTAAAATTCTGATCTAGAAGTCTGTTGTCAAGTGTCCTTTGTGATTTGGGACATATTACATAACTTTTGGGTCTCTGTTTCCTAAAACCTATAATAAGGGAGTTGAATTATATGATTATTAACATCCATTCTTAATTCTAAAAGCCTCAGTCTAGTATTTAGTATTTAAAAACCAACAGACAAATAAACAACAAGTCTCATTTATTTTGTACTGTTTGAAAAAGAAATCATATTGGCAAGATTATTTTTAAATAACTGTTCGTGCTTTTTGTTTTTCTGTAGATGGACCACACATCCCCGACCTACATGCTTGCTAACTTAACCCACTTACATTCTGAACAGCTTCTGCAGGGCTTGAATCTTCTTCGTCAGCATCACGAACTCTGTGACATCATTCTTCGAGTAGGTGATGTTAAAATCCATGCTCACAAAGTGGTACTTGCCAGCATCAGCCCGTATTTCAAAGCTATGTTCACTGGAAACCTTTCTGAGAAAGAGAACAGTGAGGTTGAGTTTCGGTGCATTGATGAAACCGCTCTCCAGGCCATTGTGGAATATGCCTATACAGGGACTGTTTTTATTTCTCAGGACACAGTTGAATCTCTCCTTCCAGCAGCAAACCTACTCCAGATAAAACTTGTCCTGAAAGAATGTTGTGCATTTCTTGAAAGCCAACTTGATCCTGGTAATTGTATTGGAATTTCTCGTTTTGCAGAGACATATGGTTGTCATGACCTTTCTCTGGCAGCCACTAAATACATATGCCAGAATTTTGAAGCTGTTTGCCAGACTGAAGAGTTTTTTGAGCTAACGCATGCTGATTTGGATGAAATTGTTTCCAATGACTGTTTGAACGTAGCTACTGAAGAGACTGTTTTTTATGCGCTCGAGTCTTGGATCAAGTATGATGTACAAGAACGCCAGAAATACTTAGCACAGCTACTTAACAGTGTGCGATTACCGTTGCTGAGTGTTAAGTTTCTCACTAGACTGTATGAAGCAAACCATCTTATTCGTGATGATCGCACTTGTAAACATCTGTTGAATGAAGCCCTAAAGTACCACTTTATGCCTGAACATAGACTCTCTCATCAGACAGTCTTGATGACACGACCTCGCTGTGCTCCCAAAGTACTTTGTGCAGTAGGAGGAAAATCTGGACTGTTTGCCTGTTTGGATAGGTAAATAGAAAGCTTTCTTAAACACTTGATGCTAATAGATTTTATACTTGTTAAATGGACTAATTTTCTATATTTTTTAAATAGTTTTATTTTCCTATTTACTTTATTTGCTGCTTTGTGTTTTTTCTCTTCTTCCTAAAATACTTATCTGGTTGTTTTAATCACATTGTCATCCATTCTCTACAATACTCTCAATTATTAACACCCCCCCCCAGGGCCGGCCCTGTGGCTTAGCGGTTAAGTGCACGCGCTCCGCTGCTGGCAGCCCGGGTTCGGATCCCGGGCGCGCACCGACGCACCGCTTCTCCGGCCATGCTGAGGCCGTGTCCCACATACAGCAACTAGAAGGATGTGCAGCTATGACATACAACTATCTACTGGGGCTTTGGGGGGAAAAAAAACAAAAAACAAAAAACCACCCCCCCCTTCCTCCCAGTGCACAAACCTTATCCATCCTGGTTACTCACTAACTTTTCTTCCATTTTATGTCTTTTTTTTTTTTCTTTGTGCAACCATTTACATCTTTATTTGAGTCAGATTAGGTCAGAGGGGATTTATTATTGCTAGCTATATCAGAAGATTCTAAAGAGGAGAGCTAGGAATCTGTGGTGAGGGCAGACTGGTGACAAGAATGCGTTTGAATGAATAAAGTTAATTAGAAGAACCACCAAAGAAATAAGAAGAAATAGGATATTGATACAATCATGGACTTTACATGCAATTTATTTTCTTCAGTGTAAATATTTTTTAATGACAGTAGTAAAAAGTGCTTTCTTTTCTAATAACTTAGAGTGGGAGTTGTCAGACTTTTTCTATAAAGAGCCACATAGTAAAAATTTTAGACTCTGTGGCCATATGGCCCCTGTCATAACTCGTCAGCTCTGCCATTGTAGTGCGAGAGAAGCCATAGACAATACATAAATGAATGAGCATGGCTGGTTCCAATAAAACTCTATTCACAAAAGTAGCTGGTGGGGCAGAATTGGGCCAATAGCCATAGTTTGCCAATCCCTGATTTAGGGCATTATACAAGTAACTTTTATACGTTGAAAATATAGCTGGATGTTATCTTTGCTTTTCCTTTGAATGGGATTGCTTCATGAAAACTTTTGTGTTTGATATATTTCTTTAATGCTGTGGATTTCTTTGTGGCCATTTCCAAAAATTTGGTAGGTTGCTTTTCCCCCCTCCAAAGGTAGGAAACTATTGATGTTTTATCAGTGTTAACTGATATATTCTGTATCTTTTAAAAAGTCTCAGTGTACATCTTAATTGTAGTCTAAAACTGGTATTGTTGAGATTTGGGTACAGGTAGAACATTAGTTATGGTGACTACGAGTTGATTGTTTACTCATTCTTAAAGGCATTGATTATTGTTAGTCAAATGTCGTGAAAAAAAAATTCCGTGGGGCCGGCCCTGTGGCGTAGTGGTTAAGTCTGGCTCACTCTGCTTCAGCGGCCTGGGTTCACCGGTTTGGATCTCTGGCATGGACCTACGCCATTGATCAGCCATGCGGTGGCAGCAACCCATGTATAAAATGCAGGAAGATTGGCACAGATGTTAGCTCAGGGCTAATCTGCCTCAACAACAACAAAAAAATTCCAAACATGAATTTACATTGCAAAAATTCTTGAGCAATTGCCTCTTGGTCTCAAGTATTAAAAATAACAGACATTATTGAAGAGTCGTAAGAACTACTCATATCTTTAGACCCAGTAATCTTTCATCTTAAAATTTATCATAAAAAAATTTTAAGTGTCATTTGCACACTTATTGCAGTATTATTTATAACTATGGAAGAATTGGAATCAACCTGAATAATTATTGTTTAATTCCACAAAAAATATGAAACACCTGTGTATCAGACACACTATGCTGGATAATCCATTTTCAACAAGTTCATAATTTAGTAAAGGAGACACATTTAAATAGATAATTATAATACATAGTGTTAATGCAGTGATAAAGATAATTCCATGGAGGTATTGAGGAGAGGCATTTATCCCATTTCGGCAATTTAGGGAAGATATTGTGGAGGAGTTCGTGTCCAAGCTGAGTGTTGAAGGCCAAGCAAGAGCCAAGCGAAAAATGGTGGGAAGGTCACAGGAAGTGCACAGAGTCACAACGGCGTGATACTGTATAGGATATGCAGGAGACTGAAAGCTGTTTGGCATTCCGAAGTATAAAGTTCTAACTGGTAAGAGGCAAGCAGTGGTCAATATGGGCCAAGTCAAAGAAGGTATTGTGTACCATGATGAAGCGAGGATTTTTATTCTGTGGGTTGAAAAACTGTTTTAAGGAGGATAGTGAAATGATCAGATTTGTATATTAGATCATTCTTGGCTGCATTATGGAGAAAGTTGGAGGGGGCCAGGATTCGTGTCAGTGTGATTAGAAGCTGCTTTCTTGGCACAGTTGGCAGCACGTCAGACTTACAATCTGAAGGTCCTGAGTATCAGAGTGATTAGGAAAGAGGTTATTGTAAAGGTGCAGGCAAGAGATTATGGGGTCCTGAATTGGGGTAGAAGTAGTAAAGATAGAAAATGGGGCATTAATTTAAGAAATGTATTGAGAGAGAAAATTGACAGGATTTGGTTGAATGGATATGGGGAGGGTGGTGAGAAGGAAGATGAGTGAGATTTCTTGGTTAGATATTGGATGAATGGTTATATACCGAGAGAGAAAAGCATAGGAGGAGGAGCCATTTTAGGGGGAAAATAATGTGTTTAGTTTGGGACATACTGAGTTTGAAGTGCCTGTTAGATATCCAGTGAAGGATGTCCTACTACTAGCTGGATATCATTGCAAAGCTCAAAGAAGAGATCAGGGCTGGAAATTTGTGTTATCAGTATATACTATAATTTAGAGGTATATTGGGCCAGCCCCGTGGCTTAGCGGTTAAGAGCGTGCGCTCCGCTGCTGGCAGCCCGGGTTTGGATCCCGGGCGCGCACCGACGCACCGCTTCTCGGGCCATGCTGAGGCCACGTCTTGCATACAACAACTAGAAGGATGTGCAACTATGACCTACAACTATCTACTGGAGCTTTGGGGGGAAAAAAAAAATTTAGAGGTATAAATTAAAACTATGAAGTCTTCTGGACTTCTTAACTGGTTTAAAATGTCCTCCTTTCTGCCCAGTGAGAACACAGAGAAAGCAAAAAAGGATTGATTCACAAATGAATGTCTGGGGAACATTAATAGTCAAGATGAGGGCAGCAGGAACAATCTTAAGAGGTAGGAGAAACCAGAGAGAATAGTGTCGTGAAAGTCAAGGAATTTAAATGTGTCAAGAAGGAAGGAGTGTGATTAACAATGTAAAATCCAATGGAAAGGTCCAAATAGATAAGGATGGAAAGATGGCCGTTAGACTTGGCAATATGGAGATCATTAATGACTTTTGGTGAAGTAATTTCAGCAGAGTTATAAGAATGCCGTAGATAGATTACAGTGGGTTGAGAAGTGTATAAAGATTGAGGAAATAGACTGTGCAGACTGTTCTTTTAAGAATCTTGGCTGAGATGAGAAGGAGAGAGATAAGGCAGAAACTGATAGAGTCAGGGGAAGTTCTTGTTTGTTTTTATTGTGTTCTTGAAGAGAGAGACATGAGTCTATTTATTATCAGATGCCAGTAGAGAGAAATAGGGTGAAGATACAGGATAGAGGAATGGTCATTGATAGAGAGCATGATTTTAGAGGAAATCAAAAAGGGATGGTATCAAAAGCAAGAGTGGTAGGTCTTGAATAGGTAGGAGGAGAAGGGTCTCTTCATGCCCCAAGATCACAGTGTGAGGGCAGGTTTACTGGAGGGGACTGCGGGGCTTTAATTAGATCCTGTCCAAGAGACTGAGGTTTTTCCTTTAACTAGGAGAGGTCCGCTAGAGAGGGAGGTGGGGATTGGGTAGGTGGAAACTATTATTAAGGAAACTCGGGAAGCTCTGAGAACGGCATTGTTTCTTCTTACGCATAGGAAGTCATCAGGATGGCAATATGCTGAAAGCGATTTTGAATAGTTGTGCAAAAATGTTAAATGGAGTTTTAGCCACACCAGTCACCTCAATGCTATAAACTACAGATGTAATTCCAAGACAAGCTCTTGTTACAACTGATTATCCGTTTGCCCTCAAAGACCATAAGGACTAAGCTCTTTATATTTTGTATCTCTGTTTACCTGTATCATCTCCAGAAATCCATCACTTCTAGAAAATCCGTCACAACTGAACTCTTACTATCATTGAGAGGTTTTTTTCCTTGCGTCACCCAGTGCTCTACTTCTCCAACACTAGCTGGATATCCAGTAATTCAATTCAATTCTGACACTTAGTATCCAGATTTTCCCAGACCCCACAGATTAATGGCTCAATCCCACAAGACTGTACCCACTTCAGATGCTGGCCACAAATGGGTTGCCCAGGGTACCCACATTTCTGCCTGCAGAAATGTGGACTGCAAATTCAGGGGTTCCTACAACACCCCTTCAGGTTTGATAATTTGCTAGGACAGCTCTTAGAACTCAGGAAAGTGCTTTACTTACTACTACCAGTTTATTACAAAGGCTGCAACTCAGGAACAACCAAATAAAAGAGCTGCATCGGCAAGGTATGGTATAGGAAAGGGCAGAGCATGCCCTCTTTGGGCATGCCATCCTCCCAGCATCTAAATGTGTTCACCAGCCTGGAAGCTCCCTGAACCCCATTGTTTAGGGGTTTTTATGGCGATTTCATTACATAGGCATGATTGATGAAATCATTGGCCATTGATGATTAAGTGCAACCTCCAGCCTGCTAATTACATGGTTGGTATGTCTGGCTGCCAGCCCCCATCCTGAAGCTATCTAAGGACCCATCAGTAGTCACCTCATTAGCTCATATGAATAACAAAAGACATTCCTGTCATTCAGGAAGTTCCAAGGAGTTCAGGAACCCTGTGCTAGAAACCTGGGACAAAAACCAAATATGTTTTTTATTACAGCATTATTGTATAACCCTATATATCATCTAATTTAACCTACTTGCCCAGCCTTTTTTTTTTTGACTCCTCGAATCTATCTGCCATGTCCTCTAGAACTCACATTCTCATAAGAAAAATCTCCTTTATCCTCAACTTTTGTTCTAATGAAATATGGCTGATGCCTAAGGATACTGTTTTTGCTAGGCCCTCTCAAAACTGTTCTGTTTTTCCCCCATACCTCATGTATCACAGATCCTAAGGGTTGGATAAATGTTTTCTTTTTTCCTTTTAGCCACTTAGAGAATTTTTTCATCTCCTCTCCCTCAAAAACCTCAACTCATTTCAAGCATTTACTAGCAGGCTATAACACAGGCTATGTCTGCTGTCCCTTTAGTAACTTCATTTACTGAAGATTTGTATAGCTGGCTTACTGTCTTTCTCATCATTCTACATACGTAATGATTGATGTCAGCATCCACATAGTACAGTGCACAGTTAACAACACCTTCGCCTCTCTTCTTGATCTCCCTGCTAACAGTCTTCTGCCTGACCTTAGGCACCTGTTCTCGTGATCATACCCTCAGCGTTGTTGTTACCAGCGACGTCAGCCCTTTCACAATCTTGGTTTCTGACTTTCCACTCTGACCACCACCTCCTCTCTCACCAGCTTATTTATTTCAGTATGCCCACTGCAGCCGTTCTTTGATCCCTTCAAGGCTTTTAATCCTTGGGCCCTATGATCAGTTAGTAAAACTTACTGCTCACCAACCACCACATGTCCTCACCCTCACTCCTTACCCAGCTTGGGTTCCAGGAACATCACTGTCGTCATTCCTTTGAATACACCCAGGGCTCCCTTGCCCTTCTTTCCTTCCCTCATGCTCATCTGGTTAAATTGAATTCTCCTCTTTTGGCATGGCAGCACCTGAGCAGTGGAGTGTGGCTAGAGAAACACATACCCATCTTACCTGGTCTCATCTGGGGCCTTCAGCAATCCCAGCAACCCCTTTACCTTTCCCTCATCAGTGTACCCTCTCACCTCCTTGGAGGACTGTTTTACACCTTCTGCCTTCTCCGTAAAAACATGCAAAGCTCCTTCCCCTCACCTTGCAGCTCTCAGCTGATGACCTTGTCTCTTACTCTGCTGAGATAGAAGCAATCAGAAGAGAACTACCTCGTCTTCCCATCAGCAGATCTACCAAGTTATTTCTGTCTAAACCAACCCCTCTACCTCTCTTCTTATTCACTGGCTCCCATGGCCTCTCCTGTACACAAGGCCTTTTCTCCTGCGGTTTCCCTCTCTCCTGTATCACCACCTTCGCCCACTATACTACATCGTTGCCATCAGCAAGCGAGCCAGTTTTGGTTTAAGCTCCCAGATTAAATTAATCTTCCATGGACTCCATGGTCTTTCTCTGCACTTATAGCTGCCTCTTCATATCTATTTTACTCTTTTTAATAAAATCCTTGGAAGAGTGGTCTACACCCACTGTTTGCACTTTCTCATCTCCCATCTCTCTTGAACCACTCAAGATTTGTCCCCACCACCTCATTGAAACTGCTCTCAAGGTCAAATAGTTTATCATTCTCATTGTAACAAGTTCACATTTTTTTTTTTTTTAATTTTATTTATTTTTCCCCCCAAAGCCCCAATAGATAGTTGTATGTCACAGTTGCACATCCTTCTAGTTGCTGTATGTGGGACGCGGCCTCAGCATGGCCGGAGAAGTGGTGCGTCAGTGCGCGCCTGGGATCCGAACCCGGGCCGCCAGCAGCGGAGCGCACGCACTTAACCGCTAAGCCACGGGGCCGGCCCAAGTTCACATTTTTAAAATAAGCAGTATAACAAAACTGATTGTACATAGGCATTCAATAACTATTGAAGGAATGAGTGTACTTTGATCATACTGGTAGAGAATACATATTTTTATGCTATTGCATTATTGAGTTTGGGGACATTTGCCTACTTTTTCCCAACTTTTTTTGTAATGAAATACATATACATGCAAGAGACTGTATATAATATGCACGCAGGGTATAAAGAATGAATACCCAAGTACCTCTCAACCAGCTTAAGAAATAGGCTATTAACAGTACCTTTAAAGTCCCCTCGTGCCTGTCCTTGATGCCATCTCCTTCCCCCTGGAAGTAACCACTATTCTGAATTTCCTATGTATTATTCCTTTGCTTTTTGTTGTAATTTTGCAACATATTATAGGTGCCCCAATATATTGTTAGGTTTTACACATTGTTATATAAATGTAGTAATACAGTATATATTCTTCAGAAATGTGTTTTCTCGCTGAACAGTAAGTTTCTGAAATTCGTCTCTGAGATTGCATAAGGAAAAGGTTCATTTAGTTTCACTGGTGTATAGTATTATAGTATATGGGCATAATACAGTATTTTCTTTCTACAATGAATGTGTTAATTATAAAAATTAGTTGAAGTGTTACATACATCCAGAAAAGTGCACAGAGCCCAAGTGTACAGCTGAGTGAATTATCACAAAATAAATGATACAAGCCAGTTCAAGAAATAGAACATGACCAACACCCAGAAACCACCCTTGAGTTCCTGCCCTGTCCTCCCCAAAGGTAACCACCATCCTCATTGCTAATCCGGCAATTAGAAATGTTTCTAAACTAATATAAATGAAACTATACAGAATGTGTTCTTTTGAATTTGGCTTCTTTCTCTCAACATTATGTGGGTAAGATTCATCCCTGTTGCACATAGCTGTAATTTGTTCAGTTTCATTGCTGTATAGTATTCTCTTATGTGATATGACACAATTTATCCATTTTATGGTTGATGAACGTTTGGGTTGTTTCCAGTTTTTGACTATTACAAATAATGCTGCTGTGGATATCCTTGTATATATATGTGTGCACATTTCTCTTAGGTATACATCTAGGAATGAAATTGCTCAGTCATAGGGTGGATACACCACATCTTATTTATACATTCTCCTTTAGATGAGGGATTGTGTTGTGCTGCTATGAAAATTTCTGTAAATGTGTCCTGGTGCAAAACTGACTGTAATAGGCTTTCAGTAGAGTAGATACACAGGAGTGAAATTGCTGAGTCATAACACGTGTATAGCTTCAGTTTTACCAGATAATGTGAATTTTTTTCTGGAGTAGTTTGTACTAGTTTATGCTCTCACCAACAGAGTATGCATTCCTTGCTTCACATTCTTGCCAGTAGTTGTTGTTATCGGATTTTAAATGTTTGCCAATCCACAAAGTGTGTTGTGATTTGTTGTGGTTTTAATTTGCATGTCCCTGATTACTAATGAGAAAAAACATTTTTATTTGTTTATGGGCCATTTTGATTTTTAATATTTAATTTTTTCTGCTTATTCTTTAGTGTGGAGATGTACTTTCCTCAGAATGACTCTTGGATTGGTTTGGCACCCCTAAACATTCCTCGCTATGAATTTGGAATATGCGTTTTAGACCAAAAAGTGTATGTTATAGGTGGTATTGAAACTAATGTGCGTCCTGGCATCACTATCAGAAAACATGAAAATTCAGTAGAATGCTGGAATCCTGATACCAATACCTGGACTTCTCTGGAGAGGATGAATGAGAGCCGAAGTACCCTTGGAGTAGTAGTACTTGCGGGAGAACTCTATGCTTTAGGTGGCTATGATGGACAGTCTTATTTACAGTCTGTAGAGAAGTATATTCCCAAAGTGAGGAAGTGGCACCCTGTGGCACCGATGACTACAACAAGGAGTTGTTTTGCCGCAGCTGTGTTGGATGGAATGATTTATGCCATTGGTGGCTATGGTCCTGCCCACATGAACAGGTATTTACCTTAATCAAGCTGTGTGTGCTTGTGGGTATTTGAAAGTGTCATTAACAATGATTTCTGGGTTTTAAACGATTTGTGTGTATGAATGAACTTCTCTTTTTAATTTTTAGAGTAATATTCATAGGCACTGGGGAAATTTAATCTGCTTTGTGAGTATAATTGTAATTATTTTACGTGAGGATTTAATACAAACCTAAGAATTAAATCCCTCTTATTAAATTTTACATTAATTCATTCAATATAAATGATGTAAATTTTAAAATTCAGAAATCTGAAAATAAGGTGAAGTTAGACAACTTTAGATTTTTGGGTAGTGTATATATATATAAATGTGTGTGTGTGTAAATGGTCTGTTATTGCATTGCTTAATAGAATAAAAAAGTGAAAAATGTAATTCTATATGCTTGCACAATATTATAATGCATCATAAACTTAATGCCTTATTTAAATATTTCTTTCTGGATTCTTATTCTGTAATCATACATGTATCATTATGTATCTGAGTTGTGCTGGAGTATGAATTTGAGATTTCTGTGTTTTGTAGTATTCTCTGAATAAAGGAGAAATATATATGAGAAAAATTAAAAGCATAAAGTGACTGCTTATATGGAAAATTAATCATACTTCTGAACCTTTGTTGAAAATTGATCATTCCTTTATCTCTAACAGTAATTAGAGTGGTATGTGTTTTGATTGTGAGCATTTTAGTGAAAGAGTATATTGTGGTTTGTTAACTGAGAAACTGATGACACAAGAGCGTTTCATCTGTAAATGTTTATTTCTGTGTAAGCTAAAGTATTGCCCCTTTTTATTGCTCCCTTAGTTGAAGGAAAAGTACCTGGGGCCCAGATGTGCATTTCTATTCTTTGAAAAGCTGCTGGCAGCAATTTATAAGATAGAAGGTTAAGCATTTTAATTTTGAGATAATGCTCCTGAGGTTTAAGTTCTTGCCGCAATGTATCAACTCCTCTTGTCCAGTGATTTTGCTCCGGTGGTGGTCATCCTGGTGTCCTTTCAGAAGCAGTTAGAGTTCAGTCTGTATGCAGTCTAGTCTGCAGTCTGATCTCTGTTCTGAACTGCAGAATTGTGTCACGGACTCTCACCTGCTGTAGGCTTGTTTGAGAAGTGAGGTTGGGACCAAAACAAGCTCAGCGTGCTTGCCTTTGTGCCCGTCAGGGCAAAGGATAGTAAAGGCCTTCTGGGATTTTTTCTGGGAAAAAAGCTTTCTAGGGAAGCTTTTTTGGAAATTCCGATTTGATTTGGATTTCCATAATGATTTGGATTTCTGCAGCTTGGAAATGCCCAGGGTTCTCTGGAATCCAGACTTGACTTAATCCCTGCATTCTTTTACATCACTCTGAGACTGTTATGATGAGCCAGTTTGTGTTATGAAAATCAGCAGTGTTTGCTTTGTAGTAAACCACCATGAATTCTCCTATATGACAGACAATTCCCCTTCTGTACTTCTCTTCATCTTCCCTTTTCCTTAGCCATGTAGAAGATCCTTAGTATCCTTAGAAAACGGCTGTATTCAATTTGGGATTTTCAAAGTCCTTTCACATGCACACTCATTTGACTTTGTTCTTACATGAATCCTTTGAGGTTATAGTATCCCCATTTCTGGAGGTGAGAGGAAATGACTTATCCAGGATTACACAAATCCAGAGCGGTAGGGCTAGGGTTCATGCAGCCCTGGGTATGCAGCATTAGTGCTTAAACCCAGGTTTTCTGACTCCAAAAGTTTTATGCCCTTAGTGTACCTTGCTGCCTGTACAATACAATGGAAAAGCATATGGCTGTTATTGCACCCAGTCCACAAGGTAAGCTTTTATCCCTGCAATTTTCTCAGCAAAATCTAAACATTTGGGACAAACTGTTCTTGTTTTATATCTGTCTGTTCATTAGAACTTTTAAAACTATGGTGGGTTTTAGTTTTGCTTTAGTAGGAAGAGTGACACAAAGGATATGTGAATTAATTCTTTCTTTTGTGAATATTTGCAGTGTGGAGCGTTATGATCCCAGTAAGGACTCCTGGGAGATGGTTGCATCTATGGCAGATAAAAGGATTCACTTTGGTGTGGGTGTCATGCTAGGCTTTATTTTTGTAGTGGGTGGACATAATGGTGTCTCACATTTGTCAAGCATTGAAAGATACGACCCTCATCAAAATCAGTGGACTGTGTGTAGACCAATGAAAGAACCCAGGACAGGTAATAATAACTTACGAATTTCTAAACATATAGGACAATATTTTTTATAGTAGTGTCCTCAGAATAATAGTTTCTTGGAATATAATAGTAAGAGTATTACTTGTCCAGAAAAAAAAAACTGTTTTGTGGTAAACTTGAGAGACAACTAGATTAGACAAAACTATCTAATTTCTTTACTATGATTTGAATATGCCAGTGTGCATATTATCGTTTCTTAAACTTGGGGAACACATTTTGAGAAAGGCTGGTCATAAGATGTGTTTTACAGAAGCTCTTTTTGTCTGTATAACAGATGTCATCTTTTTATATGTTACGTAACATGCACACAGAATTCTTTGTACATAACAGTCTCTATGTTCACTTTCAAAGGTTCTCTCCTCCTCGAGGGGGATAGTTGATCAAGAGAGGGTTGGATTTCGGGGTTCCTAGAGAAAAACAAGTATGTCTGAGGAAAAGGAGAAATTATCTTGGAACCCAAACTCAAATTACATTATTTTAAGGCAAGGGTTTTAAGTTTAACTGATGGAAGTGCTTTAGGAATATTCCTTCCATTTATGATTTAAGAAACGCCTAAAACATAAATATTCATAGGAAACTGAAAGGACAAAATGGAATGAACTAGTTGTTTACTATAGCTAGTTTCTGTGGTATCATGGAGAGGGAAAGCCATGAAACAATGAGAATGTAGAAAATTTGGGTAGCCTTGTTCTTTGTAGAACTATATATAATAATATATAGAGTAGAATTTTTAAAGCATAAATTATATGGTTCAATATATTTCAAATATTTCACTATATTTTAAAACCTGATAAAAATGAACAATTTCTTTAAAGATATATGTAAATATAAATTGAGAAGAAAGCATAAGGAAAGATAGATACTCCATTCTTAGTAGTGTTTTCCTATGGTGGAGGAGAAGGAAGGTAGGATTGGGGAGGAGAGACTTCAACTCTTAATGTTATGTTAAGGGATTTTTTTTTTCCTTAAGGACGTATTGCTATATTGCTTGTGTGATTAATAATAGGTTGTTGAAATGTATTTTAAGAAAACATTATGATACGAATTCATACATTTTTAGTAGGAAGTCTACTTCATGGTTAACATGTTTTTTCTCCATTTTTACCCACGTTTTCTAGGAGTCGGTGCTGCAGTGATTGATAATTACCTTTATGTGGTGGGTGGTCACTCAGGCTCTTCCTATCTGAATACTGTGCAGAAATACGACCCTATCTCAGATACGTGGCTGGACTCAGCTGGCATGATATACTGTCGCTGCAACTTCGGATTGACTGCACTGTGACCCGTTTGGGCCGTGGAAGCTGTGGTGATGGACCCTGTGCTGCATGGAAGGATGCCCAGTTTTCTGAAGCCCAAAAGCTGCATTGCTTTCTTTTTAACTTGAAATGGCATGAAGACTCCAAGTTTTGTTGGGTACTTTGAACTAAAAGTAGTTTTGGTTGCTCTTGATTACACAGTGAATCAATAATCAAAAAAAAAAAAAAAAAGGAAAGATCTTGCCCATTGAATCGTGCACTTTTTTTCCTAATGCTGAGATAGAGTAGTTTTATGTTCCTCAGTGTACATGTGGAGAAAATCTTGCTGCTTTTTTTTTTTTTTTTTTTTTGATTTTAGCTCTCTCCCTCCTCCTTGATATGCACTAGAATTTACTGGGATGAGAGACGCTTAGATGCTGGAGTGTATTGAATGACTGAACAGAGTGCTGATACTGTCTGTTGGACATAAATTCATATGCTTCACATTTTCAACAAATAAAGGGCTGCTTTTTTTCCGGTACTTTTAAGGGTTGTAAATTACATGCTATGGTGAGTCACCCGGATATTTTTCCTGCTAAATGGCTTTAGAGCTGGGGATGTAATAAGTTTGCAAGACAAATGCTTTTACTATCATGATATTTGGGGGCCTATTTTAAGAGGAAGTCACATATTTACTGTTTATGCCTTTTTTATATGGGCAGGTTAATGCGGGCTGAATTTAATCCCATCTATGGGGTGCTATGCTAAGCATGGATAGAAAGAGTTAAGCATATCAGTTTCAGCTTTTTTTTGTTAATTTAGTACAGCAGGCTTCCTAGTGTTGATGTAAATACTTGACAAATGTTTAGTACCACCCTTAGTGCATATTAATTTTTCGTATATCCTTATAATAATTTTAATTTTTTAAGACCTTTGCTTTTTCAAAGTGTTCAGATATAAAAATGGTGCTAACTGTAGGATCCATAACAAGGCTATAACAATGTTCTTTGAGATGTTCAGTATGAGATATGCATGACATGTTTTGATAGTATTTTTCATTTTTACTGGCTTGGTTCATTTGTGCTTATTAAAAATGTTAGTGATTATACTAATGTTAACATCCAAAAATCCTCTAAATGGCCTGTGTTACGCTGTTCATGGTTCCTGAGTAGTGATTTAAAGAAAGATACATTTTTGATCTTCTTTCTTCTTGTGCTAGATATTATATATCCTTCTTAAAAACAGGAATATATGCATTAAATATAAAGCACTAGGCAGTTGTGCATTACTTTATACATTTCTTAGGTAACTGAATATTTTAAAGTTATTGAGGAAAACTGGAACTCAATGTTTACTTGAGTAATGATTCTAAATTTGGTTCTACTTTGACTAAAGAAATGATCTTTTAAAGCAAAATTGTTTGCTGTAGTTAAGTGACAGCTTATTTAAAAGAAATTGATAACTCATTTTGTTTTAGCATGTTTTCGTAAAGTCTGTTAGTCTTGAACACATTACTTTGCATTTTATTAAGTTGTTGATAGTACTTATATTTTTGGTACTGTAGTCACTTTGTTTTCTTTTCCTTGATTTTTTTTTTTACCTGCCCACTGTCTCTCTATAGGGTCTGCAAAACCAGTGTATATTTGTTTCCTACGAAAAAAATGCATACTGCATTCTTAAGTGCCATGAAGTTCTAAACTGTTGTTAAGAAGCCATTTGTAATTATAAAGCATAGGTTCATTTGTTAGCATATATGTTATTTCTTGAAAACTATTTACAGCTGGGCAATCTGCAGCTGTCCTTGTTCTTCCATAAACTGCCAGTTGTAGATTTAAATATATACTACAAATCTATGTAAAATCATCTTTAATCATAAAAGTAGTATCATGCTTTATGAATATTTGCACAGATTATAAAACCTTGCAAGTGATTTTTAGTCTCTTCTAATTAAGAACTCAACAGGAGTTGAGTTCTCAACTCAACAGGAGCTACTCATAAAATTGACAGGCTGAGTATTTTCTATGTTGCTTGTTTGACTAGCATAATGATATATAGCAATAACTTTTTAATTGATTTGAATAAATCTATTGAATAGAAACAAGGTGCACTATTGTGATTGGCCTAGACTTTATTTAAAGAAAAGAAATTTAAAATAGATTCCATCACATACTTAATTTTAAACCCCCAACTCAATTTTCTGTTTATATCAACCAAATTGTTAAATAAATCGTATTACAGTTTTTTTGTTTCTTGTTTTTTTTGGTGAGGAAGATTGGCCCTGAGCTCACATCTATTGCCAGTCTTCCTCTTTTTGCTTGAGGGAGATTGTCGCTGAGCTAACATCTGTGCTAATCCTCCTCTATTTTGTATATGGGATGCTGCCACAGCATGGCTTGATGAGCAGTGCATAGGTCTGTGCCCGGGATCCGAACTGGTGGATCCTGGGCCGCCGAAGCAGAGCACATAAACTTAACCACTACACCACAGGGCTGGCCCCCTTGTATTACACTTTTTAATCCCCTCCCCACAGAAGATAAGGGAAGTTGAAAGACTATAGAAATTCATTTTAATTATAAACAGATCTATACATTTTGTTTTAACAATGTTTTACTCATGTATCATCCCCACTGTCAAATTAGTATAAAATATATAATCACTTGGTAAATTAGACAAAGGCGTATATTGATCATTGCTTTGGAAAAATCGAAATTTCATCTTGGTGAAGACTAAATGTGAAACATCTTGGACAGTAATAGGAGCCATAACCAGAGAACACATTGTGAAAACTGGTGAAAGGAAGAGAAAAAACCCCCACATGTGGAAATACTTATTTTAGGTTTGCTAAACCGACTGTACTGTTCGTAACCAGAGGTGTTGTGACCTGACAACTGACAGCTTTACAATAGAGCCTTCTCATACAGGTTTGTGAGAAGTTTCATCAGGAGTACTTAGCTCACAAATTGTGAATTTAAAGCCACATGTTCCTTATGTTAGAAAGGATCAAAATGTTTGATTATAAATTCCCAGGGTTAAAGATATTAGAAATAATTTTATATACTCAGGCAAGGAGGAGGAAGCTAATTAAGATTGCCCAGAAATGTTTTAGAAAAACGTGACAGTGGGAAATAGAAATTAATCAAATCAGTTGGAAGATAATTGCCTCCTCTAATTATGTTATGAAAACTTAATCTGTTAGGAATGTTTGGCTATTTAATGTTTGTTGAATGTAGTAATAGAACTGAAGTGATTTTTAATTTAGCCCAAAAGATATTGATAAGTTCCGTATGTTCTAGCTAATATGGTTTTAAATATGAAGGAATATTGAATTACAGGAAGTGGCATCGAGTGTTAGGAAAATGGCGTTATGTTTTATTTTTTTATTTTATTTTTTTAATTTTTTTTTATTTTGTTTATTTATTGTTCCCCCAAAGCCCCAGTAGACAGTTGTAGGTCATAGCTGCACATCCTCCTAGTTGCTGTATGTGGGACTCGGCCTCAGCATGGCCAGAGAAGCAGTGTGTCGGTGCATGCCCGGGATCTGAACCCGGGCCGCCAGTAGCGGAGCGCGCACACCCAACCGCTAAGCCATGGGGCCGGCCCAAGGCGTTATGTTTTAAAACATTATTTTGATAGCTTGACAAACGGGGAGAATCTACCATATGTACAAGATATTGTGCTCTGCTGTGGGGGCTAGAAATATAAAGCTACAGTCCTTTCACTCGGGGTAAAAGATAGTGAGGGAGACCTGTATCCAGACAACTGTTATGGTGAAGCGTGAATCTAATTCCTTATCTCCAACATCATAAGACGTGATTAGAGACCCAGTTCTACATTTTTGTCCTTTAGTGTCCAATTAGCTTTTATTGACATGAAAAAGAATTATAAAAAACCTAATATTTATAGAACTCCAAATTTCCTGGAATTGGTTAATATATTTTCTAGAAGAAAAACAACATTATAGAAACTTTAAAACGATTATTTACTATATTATCAAGGCTCTGGGTAATGATGAAGGAAATATTTGTACATATAATGCTGTGTTTATTTTCAGTTTTGGTGTTGGATTTCTGGTATTGTCACCTAAGTGCTCATTTTCAGGAAAATCAGATTCTACAATAAATATACTGCTTAAAGTTCAATAAACTTGTGATAACCTCTATAACCTCTGTAGTCTGAAAGTTAAGAAATTATAAGATGTCACATGTCAAGTTAACATCCAGTTCTACTACTTAACCTTTTTTTCCTTTGTAAACAGCACTTTATGATTTAATTAGATATGATTATTCTGTGGCTGGATATATATTGGATTTTCACTTACAGTATATTGATTCAGTGTTGATACACATTTGAAAAGACTGAGGAATACAGTAAGTTTTAAACACTAGGTTTACAGGTTTTCTTGCTGGTGTGAATATGGAGTCAAATAAAAATCCAGTTTACATCTCTGCAGAGAGAAGAATTGTTATCCATATGTCTTTTGTATTACACATATTTAACGAGATAATTTATTGTTAATTTTGTCAAGTTATCATGTGTAAGTCCCATTTATTTTAAAACACTAAGCAAAAAGTTCCAAGTTTGCCTTAAAATACAAGTGAAATTAAAGAACTGGATGATAATGCCTATATTTTTGCCTTATGAATTGTGCTGTATCATAAACCAGAGATGGTTTTGATTTTAACAGGATTCTGAAGTTGTGTAGATGTAGAGTACTAATATTTGTACTCTCTTGCAAAGAATGTGATCTAGTTGTGGATTATGTTAATGTTTAAGTGTTTTTGTATATGTATTTTACCTCTGAATATGTATCTTTTAAGCATCAGGGTTTTATTTTATTTTTTGTTTACATAGTAAAGTGGCATTTAACTTGTTGAAGGTTGTATTCTTTTGTCTTTTATTTTAAAAGTTCTTTGTGTGTAATATTGTGGTAATGCTCCATAATGACTATGGTTAAATTTCATTTAATGTGAAATGTGTAAAATAAATTTGAAAAACTTGACTTTTTGTGCGCCAGTTGTTGTGAACTCACCCAAGCTACCTGTGTCGTGCTCGACTCTTAGGCTCTTCATGGTAGATAGCTGGTGGCCACGAAAGTTGAGGTGGTTGTGGGAGGGACACTCCTTTACATCCTCCTTACCAGGTTATCATGTGGCTAAATTCTGCCACACGTTCAGACACTTACTAAAGGAACAGTCATTAGAAAAGCAGGCACAAAAGAGTTCAGTAAGTTCAGTGCAGACCCAGCTTTCTGTTCTTTTTGATTCTCTAATCAGCCTCCTGAGAGGGGTTTACTTGAGGCAGACAAGGCAACTTTCCAGAAGGTTCTGCTACTAATATGGCCAGCATCAGGTAAGCAGCAGTCCTTCTAAAGAAAGAGCTGTACACGAGGGATTGAGCCCCAGGTGCTGTCAGTAAGGAAGTTGTAAACTACAGGCCTGGGTGGATTCAGATATCCTGTCCATACAAGGATGGAAATGTCTCTTATTTTTACACAATTCACATATCTTGAAACGTTTCAATTTCACCAGTAAGAGCAACTTTATTGATATCATGTTAGTCTGTGAGCCACTATTCCCCATTAAGTGTCCTTGACATTTAATATTCTAATTAGCAAAACCTTGAATGTTGATCAAATTATGGATAACAGAAGTATTTGGGACTGTCTTGAGTACAGGTTTCCTAGTTAGAATGCCGGCTAACCATCCCTCAGCTGCATTCTTAATGAGGGCTAGTAGAAACTTAACAGATACGTGCTGAAGTGTTTCAAGTATTGTGTTTAAAATATGCACTTGAGTACATATTAATATAATTAGGATTTCTTGACTGAGTGGTTGCTTTTGAGGTTCTGCTTTTTAATTCTAAGGCATGCACAGATAGCTTTCACGCTACCAAGAAGTAAAATCTGTCCACAGACACTTGAGAGCTGGGTATGTGTGACACATGGTGGAAGGTGGAAGGGAGTAACAAGCCATAATCTACACTCCGCTGGAGGAATGAGAAACACCTCTGTTTTTTTTTTTCAGGGAGGGAGAATAGAAGAAAGAGTGCAGCTCTGGCAGAACCCTAGCTGTGCCTTTTGTGTTCTTTCACAAAATTACTAGATGGTTCTCTTGTTTGGGGCCAGTGCATCACTGGGAGTGGAAGCTTCAACTCTAATGTGGAAGATGGTGCAATGAGTGGATTGTAGGGGTCGGCAATAGACTTGTAGGGGCATACATACAAAGAGCTGTTCCC